TGTGTGACAATAACATGAAACAAATTTAAAAATGCACTTTATCAAAATATGTGGGATGCTGATAAAGCAGTGCTTGGAGAAAAGTTTATAGCACTAAACACCTGTGTTTAAAAAAAAAAACAAACAAGAAAGGTCTCAAGTCAATGACCTAGATTTATACCTTAAAAAAAAAAACTAGAAAAGAAGGAGAGCAAAACCCAAAGTAAGCAGAAGAAATGAGGTAATAAAGATCGAGTAGAAATCAATGAAACAGAAAACAAAAACAGTAGAGCAAATCAATGAAACCAAAAGCTGGTTCCTTGAGAAAATTAATAAAATTGATATACCTCTAACCAGACTGATCAGAGAAAAAAAAATAGAACACAAACATCTAATACCAGGAATGAAAGAGGAACTATCACTACAGATACTATAGATACATAAAAGAAAGAAAATATTATGCCTTTGTCAATAAATTTGACATCATAAATAAAATTTTAAAATTCCTTGAAAGATACAACCAAAGTTCACTCAAGAGGAAATGGATAACACAAATAGCCTTATATCTTATTAATGAAATGGAACTTGTAGTTAAAAACATTCCTACAAAGAAAATTCTAAATGGTTTCACTGGTAAATTCTACCAAATATTTAGAGACGAGATCATAATGATTTTACACAAATTCTTCAGAAAACTGGAGAAGAGAGAACACTTCCTAACTCATTTTATGAGGCCAGCATTGCCATGTAACCAAAAAAGACAAAGACATCATAAGAAAAGTATGAACCAATTATTGTCATGAACTTAGGTGCAAAAATTATAAACACAATTTTAGAAAGCTGTATCCAACAAAAAATAATAATACAGCATGACCAAAGTGAGGTCTATTCAAGGAATGCAAAGATGCTATAACATTTGCAAATCAACCAATATAATGCAGCACATTAACAAAACAGAAAAGAGAAACTATATGATTATATCATATCTTCAAAATTCATTTTTGAAAAAACTCAGCAAACTGAACAGAAGGGAACTTCTTCAACCTGATAAAGGGCTTCTCTGAAAAATCCTATGGCTAACACCGTTACTTAAGGATGAAAGACTGAATAATTAAACAAAACTTACATTTCAAAATGAGCCATTTAAAACAAGACATTTAAAAATACTAAAATATGTGAAAGAATGACACAAATCTAAATTAGAAAAACTGAGAAATGAACTGACAGAAATCAAAGAATTTGAAATAAAACAATACTTTCAGACATAAAAATTAAAGTAGAAGGAATATGAGGAAATTAACTAATAATAATGCCTTAAGAGCTATAAAAGGTGAAGAGATGATAGCCGGGCGCGGTGGCTCAAGCCTGTAATCCCAGCACTTTTGGAGGCTGAGACGGGCGGATCACGAGGTCAGGAGATCGAGACCATCCTGGCTAACACGGTGAAACCCCATCTCTACCAAAAAAATACAAAAAGTAGCCGGGTGAGGTGGCGGGCATCTGTAGTCCCAGCTACTCGGGAGGCTGAGGCAGGAGAATTGCGTAAACCCGGGAGGCGGAGCTTGCAGTGAGCTGAGATCCGGCCACTGCACTCCGGCCTGGGCAACAGGGCGAGACTCTGTCTCAAAAAAAAAAAAAAAGAAAGGTGAAGAGAAGAAACTTTTAGGAATAAAAAAAATAAGATAAAAAGTATTCAAGAGAAAGTGATACGTTTATAACATATCAAAACTTATAACACTTTTAACAGCAACCGTTCTGAACAGAAGTAAAACAAGTACTCAATGCAAAAAAATAAAAGAGACTGCCAGGTGTGGTGGCTCACACCTGTAATCCCAGCACTTTGGGAGGCAGAGGAGGGCGGATCATCTGAGGTCAGGAGTTCGAGACCAGCCTGGCCAACATGGTGAAACCCCATCTCTACTAAAAATACAAAAATTAGCTGGGCATGGTGG